GAAAGAGAATTTGTAGCTTTGTTTGGCAGTTCATCCCCCATAAAACTCAACTGCTGTACTTTTCTCCACATTGTCTACCTCTGGATGCCTCTGGCTTCCCCTGCTTGGTGTTTCAATGCTCATCTGTTTCCAGAACTCTATGGCTCTATGGATTATGTATTGAGAGCCCATTACCTGCCTTTTCTAGAGAAAGCTGGAGAGCAAGAGGTAGATGTAGGCAGATACTGAGATGGCAGGGAGGGAAAAGGTATGAGGCTGGCAAGATGACGAATCCTAGAAATGTCAAATGGTTTGGTCAGACACAGAGCCCACAGGAATACGAATACAACAAACAAGGCGGATTGCACTTCTCAGGACTTTCCTCCTCCGCAGTTGGAGGTGTGACTGCAGCATGTGCAGGCATACCTGAGCTACTTTTAACCTAATCAGCTCAGATGCTGAAAACAGGCAAATTTGTGGCAGCATGAGATTCAGCTGCCCATAGGCCTCAGCTGATTCACAGCACTCATGCTGAAGCTGATGCTACTTCCACTTCTTAGCTGTTGTAAGTACTTTGCTAGATTAAAGCCAGCTCACACATGTGTATGCATGCTGCAATGTATCCCTGGACTACAACACAGAATCGCAACCTGAATTACTAGTTCAGCTTTTCTAGAGACTCAGGCAGGCTGATACAACTTAGTTTACACTCTGTATTCTGAGATTCTCCCCAAAATAATACTGGGTACAAACATTTTTTAAATGAACTGCCATGCAGTGAAGCACAGTTTAGCAGCAATGGTAAAATTCTACAACAGATTTTTGGTCTCAGAATCTCAATATACAGTAGCTTGCAAGCAAACACTCTCATTGGCATAGCTCTTCATATACAGAACCAGAGCTTAAAGAGGCATTCAGTAAGCTGTTTTCCTGCATTGCTCAGAGCTGCAGAAACTCAAATCTCCAACTGCAAGGTAACAGTTGTGTAAGACAGCTTCACTTCAGCAGTCTGAAGCACAGTTATGCTTATGCTGAGCACAGCATGTTATTATGTATTTAACAGAGGCACATAACACTGCCTTGTGACATTATTATTCTTCAGGCACATTGATAGGGTTAAACACTTGTACTGAGAATGTATTTTATTCCTACAGACCACGTACAAAAGGTGGTTTGAGAAAGTTTGAAAGACTCAATGTACTTCAGGACCATCAGAGAAGAAGAATCTCAACAATCTTTTAAAATTGTGCAGATTATATTAATGGCTCCCAGGCCCTTAATATAACAATCTTCACTAGGTTCCTTGCTTCCTGCTGGAAGGATGCTGATGATAAACAAATTTCTTAATCAGAAAGCCAAAGGTGAAGAGCAATATCAAGCTCAGTCTAAGCAATATACGTTATACCCATATTAGTGCTTTATTTTAACTTGATAACCCTAGTAATCCTGGAAAAGAGTGAGACCAAATCTCCATTGTTCTGCCTAGGATAGCAAGAGATTATATGAGAAGACAGATTGGGAATAACATCAGACAAAATCTTTACTATTACAAGAAAAAAAACAATGACACTAGACAGGGAGAATTAATTCAGTCTTCAACTACATTACAAAAAACATAAAAGATGGCAGAATGGATAACTTGACTGGATTTTGTTGAAAGTGTGTTTAAGACTAAAGTATCAAATGGGAAGAAATAATCAAGGCACTATAAAACAACAACAAAAATTAAATAGGGAACAAAACAACTCAGGGTAAGAAATG